AATGTCACTTGCATTTTCCTCCAATTCAATGGTTATTGTTTTTAAATCTTTGAAACGCTCTTTATAAAGGTTCAGTACTGAAAATTGTGTGCTGTTCTTTACGCCCAAAAGAAAGCACATCTAAATATTTTTTAAAACATTTTCTTTACTTCTACCTTTCCTCTGACCATTACAATAATGAACGTTTCTACCGACTTGTTACTATCGAAACAACAAACAAGTTCAGCCTACCATTATACCTTGACACTGCTGTCGCGAAGTGTTAATGTATTGATGCGCATGTCCCGGTTTGTATCTTTACGACGACTGTGTCACTCCATGTTTGAGGTTCACAAGCGCTGACCGTTCGACAGTGACCACTTTGTTCCGACTTTAACTACTCTCGGCGACTGTCGGAGCTGTTAAATGGCCGTCAGAGTATCAATCTTAAACTGCTCTGTGATGGGTCAACCTCTGAAAAAGTAAGCATGCTCAAGGTAAATGAAATGCAAGGACCCATATCGATGGCTAGCGAACGATACCGCATATCTGCAAACTTACAATTTTGCGAAACGAAGAGAAAACTTCGCTTTATTTGTCATTTTAAGGTTCGATTTACAATTTTTTCATAAATTGCAGCGTCATTGAAGCGTCCCAAGACAGAATTGGAAACGAACTAAAATTATCAGCTTGCGTATTTTATACTGTAGAATACGGCGAAGTCGCTAACTCCCTTTTGCCAAAATTGTCAGTAAGGCGGTATTGTTATGCTCTCTATATGCCGATGCTCAATAGCTGCTCAAAAGCTAGGAAACGTGCGTTTTTTTTTCTCTTTCTTTGATTTCCTTTCTGTTTCTTTCGCTCAATAAGCTGGAAAATGAGAATTTGTATCGTGGAAACTGATGTAATGTGTGATGATATTATTTGATGTAATGATGAGTAGAAGTATGAGTTGGCGTTTAGAGCCCTTCTCTCAGCACTCTAATTTTTTACCAAAATCAGGACCATTAAAGGCGCTTTATACGCCCCTTTCTTTTTAATGCGTAAGCTGTATTTCACGCGAAACTGATTGCGGAAGCATGTATTATGGTGCTATTTTGTACTCATTTCCGAGCTAAGAAAAAACGCCGTATGAACATTTAAACGTTGCCAAAAATCTCCTCGCATAATATTTATGATTGAGAAGAGTATAAATACATTCGTTTATAATTCTGAGATATGCAACCCTAAATCCTTAGTAGCACACCTTCTAAAATAAATCGGGAAAAAATGTAAAACTTTAAAATGTTTACGGAGAAAAGCTCAGTAAAGAAGTCTTGAACAGTCAGAGGTCAAGAATTTTACTTTAAAAAAATTGTGATGTAAAAGGTAAAGAGAGGTAATTCATACTTTTTACGTGTTTTCTTTGTAAAAACTACCTCACCGGCATTTCGTCTTTGGTTTATTTTACTACTTTTACGAGGTTTTCTAATGTTTTGTAAAGTTCACGTCATGGGCTACCGGGAATTGCAAATATAATACTGTGCACAATTTAAGGGGGAAAATTGATGCTTATCCCCAAAAAATTCATCATTTATGTGAGGAAGAATAGCAACATTTGAATGCTTTTAAAGCGTTTATCCTTTGCGCGGTAGTGTGGTATCAAGTTCAAGCGCTCCAATGCTTCATTTTGGGCGGTACTGCAGTTCTGTATCTTATAAATGTAACCCTACTTCCCGTCCCCCATCTCTAATATGAACGCCTACTTATCAGGTCTTATGATCATTGGATCAATAATTGCTCATGCTCACCCGTGATACGTATACTTACCTGGAACTCCGGATGCCTGCATTACTCAATCCACGTTCCAATTAGTATCTCTAGAGATTGAGGGCTTGGAACAATAATCATCTAACTGAATGCTGTAATGAATGTCTATTTGTGTGACTGAGGTAATCGTCTTGATCTTGAGTTAAATACTAAGGAAATAACTTTATCTGCTGCACCGGTTTAAGTACCAAGATTCGTTTACCTGTAGCCCTTCAGCGATCAAAGTTTTTCGGGAAAGTAAAAACTGGGAAAAATTGACATTTTTCATGGAGGAAAGGGTTCAAGGTAAAAAAATCATGGGGACGGGGGAGAGTTAAAATGCAAACGATTCCTGAAATCACGATGACGCTTTTTGGGGGAAAAGGTTTCATTATTGGGGTTCAAACCCCCAACATTCCTCCTTCCCGGGATACGCTACTGCCAGTAATGGGAAATGGGAATTCCTGGGAACGTTCCCAATGGCTCTCGAAAAAGTGAATGGTTACCACGCGAGGGTGTATTTATGTATGCTCCCGTACTACCGCGTGCTAAGGTAAAACGCCGTATGAACATTCGAGAGTTGCCAAACTTCCTTCGATACAATATTTGTTTTTGAGGAAAGCTATGAATATTTCGCTATGAAATTTTTAAGAACTTACGGTGAAATTACGAACAAAATTATTTGAAAAATAGGAGGAAAAATATTGAAAAATTTCCTCGAGAATTCGTGATTTACCGAAGGAAATTTGGCAACGTCAGATGGCTCATACGGCGTTCTTCCTTGGCACGGCAGCGTAGGACGTCTCAATTTTCAAAATTCATCCGAGGAGGCCCTTGGACCCCCTTTTGGAGCTGAGAAATTTTCCCCAAACACCCTTTGGTGAGGTGCTCTTCTGCCTTCCCGCCAAAAAGAATCCTACAGTTCCACCCACGATGACGTCAATCTCATCTCGTGCGCGGAGCTGTCCTGCGTGCGTCAAGACTGAGATTTTCAGCTGAAACCGTTGAAAATCTGCATAAATCATGCTCATACATTTTTAATGAGAGTATCGACGGACACATATTTTAACTGGTTTCACAGAGCTCGAAAACAAAAATTCCGTAATTTTCGCCGCCGTTTTGAACTCCTGAACGACCAACACCGCAGCTTATGCGTACGGCGTGGGGCGGTTCGATTGAACTGATCTGACACTGTGAGTCTTGGTCTGGTTTGGGACTCGACTTCCTGGTTTTGGAGATTACTAAACTTTTTATCTAAACGCCGGTGTACTCTCTTCGGCGAGCGAAGAGCGAAGAGGAAAGGAATGATTTCGAAATTACCAGCAAAATGCGTGTATTGATTGCTGTTCAAAGGTCACCAGACCGACCTTTGAACGATCAACTATCAAACCTACCGTACACACGGACCTAGGCTAATTATCGTGAGTTTGCCGAGGGTTCGAGAGAGAGAAACTCTTTCACCTGAAGGCTTTATCTATATTTCTACACAACACAATGATTCATTGCCAGTATTATGATGTGATATGACATTCCCACGCGGCGTGATATGATAATTTACTCACTACAGAGCATCGCAGCGGTCTCTATACCTGGGCTAATATAACAATAAAATGAGAGAATAGAAAATTCTCGTTCCATGCAAGAATTCTGCTCTTGAAAGTTTTTTTTTTTTTTTTTTTTTTTTTTTTTTTTTTTTGCTTTGAAAGCGGGGAGAAAACCGAGTTCCGGCAACTACTGCTCGCATGTGCCCGGAACGGGTGACCAGTCCCACCCCCCGACAGCCACAATCAGCTGACAGGGGGCTCGAGAGAGTATCGCGATCTTGAAAGTTGGAATCCTCGTTGTCGTAACGGTGATTCCGGTTGTTCCTAAATGAATTGCCGTGCGGGATGTTTTCTGTAAACTTTCCCATCAACCCCAGCAGAAGTCCTGCTTGTAATTTAGTCCGTAAGTGGACGTATAAGGACTCTTCACGGTGAATCCTTCAACACAGGAACAGAAAGTACCTTAACGCATAGGAGGATCCGGGGGGATCCATTTGCCCAAAATGAAGAAGGAAGAAAGGAAAAAAACGGAGGAAAAAGGAAAGAAAGACGCTTAAACTTGGCAGTTTTTCATGTCGAAATTGACTGAGACTGAATATGAATTTGAGATGCTTCAAAATTCTGATATTTCCCGGGCCCTTTTTTTGACGTGAGATGTATTCCATACCCTTCAAATACCTCCTAACCCCCCCCCCCCCCCCCCCCCCNCCGGGTGGATGAAGTGGGGCCTAGAAAAAATCCGCCCCTTCCGTTTGAGGTGTTTGGATCCACTTTATATGGACCATCTGATGTCCAAGTGCTCTCTATAGCGGTACTTGAGGATCTTCTGGTGTCAATATCTGGACGCTTGACCGGCAGAATCAGCTGTGAGTGACCCACCCAGCGTAAGATGACTCATTGGCTCGGATAGTCGGACACGGCAGGGGCCGGGTAGCGGTGGAATTCTTATCGTGACGAATGAGATGGAGTGGGAAGTGGAAAATGTAAAGCGACTTCCCGTATGATTTGCTCGCATTCGTATTCGCATTGGGTATTCGCTATCCGCATCGGGTATTCGCGAAGCATATTCCATGACATTGGGCGAGACTTGGCGCGCGCGCCGGCGCTAACCGCGTTTTACCGCGTTTTCCCGCGCCGCCGCCGCCGCGAGCATGAAGCACGTATCGCGACGCGTCCGATCGCGCATCTCCAGCGCGATCGCCTCATTGTCGCCGCCGCGTTTTCGTAAAAACTCAATTTGCCACCAGGAAGCGATGGATCTTCTCATCGCATCGCACCGACCGCGTTGTCAAGTGGACCACATTTCGTGATGAGGAGCCACTATCTAGGGCGCTTTCGTGCGTGTTACACAAGTACCCATCTACGTCAGGAAACTAAGTTAATGCATTATGCACGAGGAAAGTGTCGAATAAGTATGATTAACTGGTTTAGGCTTTGAAGCAGCTGTGTTTTGGGAAACGGCGCGTAAGTCACCAAGAGAACTCTTTGCATAGGCGGTACTGGACATCTTGGACGGGAGGGGGGTCCGTGGGCCTCCCCAAAAAGTATCGAATTGTTGAAGCATCAAAGTAATATGCACTGGAAAAAAAAAACACATTAACACCATGGTATATTATATATTATATATAAGTGGTTTTACCTTCATATTGTTTGATCCAACACTAAAGAAAATGTATCCGTTTGTTTCAGATGGAGTCTGATCACGCTGTACGTCATTTTGACGCTTCTTTTTCTATTGTTTGTTGTCGTTCCAATACTATGGAAGACCTCATACACCATGCAACGGATGTTCCTCTTCCTTAATTTTGGTAAGTTGGTCCTTTCGCCACAGATTTTTCTCGGGTTGATTAACGGGAGAACGGTCAGTAAAATGTGACCCGACCACGACAGTGTAGTACCTTCATACCTCATAGGTGACCTTCATGTAGGATTCATCTCTGATTGGTTCAGTTATCTGAAATCTCACAGAGCCGTGAGAAACTACAAAAAAATTCCGGACATAGCGTGCAAATGGTTGAAAATGTTAAAAAATAAGATTTAACTTGCTTGCATCGCCGTAAAATTTACTTAGGGTACATAGGTATGTGTGTTTAAATTAAATTTAAAAGGAATTTGTTTCAACATAGACCTTTACCATAGAAAAATTGGCACCAAGTAAAGAAGGTGATAAGCGTAAAACTCGAACGCTGGCAACAACAGCATTGGAAGCGATTGGGATTGAAGGTGAACTCCTGATGGACGATACCTACCAATCGGTTAACAACATCGTTCATCGAGTTAAGTAATCAAAGGTTATGGATTGATAAAAATATGTATTTTTCGAAGAGAAAACTTTTCGCGCTATGCGGCATGTTTGTTGCCTAAGTGGTAAAATTGAAGGCGGATCTCAAATGGAGCTGTCCGCCAATAGATATGCACATTTTCATTGGACCCTGTCCCGATGCAATATTCAGGGCTTTTCGGGAGCATGTCCTGTGACCCAGAAACAATCAATTAGTATTAATCAATCGACTTTCGAATCTCTGTTGAAAGTGCCAAAGAAACATCGTAATTAGATGCATTTAACCAAAATCAGATTTTTTTTTTATTAAAATGTAGTTTATAGTTTATACTCTTTGTAATCTGAAAAAAACTCAGATAAAAAATCGAGGTGGTATATTGCTTAGTTCTGGTTTTAGGACATTTTGTCAACGATTTCTTGTCCGCTTACCTGTTTTTTCCAGTAATTTACGTCCACGCGTTTTTTCGGGAGTTTTGGTCCACGTGCCGGTTGGGACCCAAAGTTAATTGGCCCACATATAAATACAAACGACAATTGCTCACGACGTTTTTGGATGAAAATGTAAAATTTCTTGGAAGAATGAGAGTTTGCTTGTTTTTTTGTTTTGTCTGTTTGGTCCAGCGGAGAATAATATACAGTTGAGAGTTTTGGTAAACATGGGGGAGCGTCAATGCCATGAGACAAAATTCACTAAAACTCTCTACACCTCTTTGGTGTAACAGGACTTAATTATCTTTCAAGATTTTCCCACCTTGTCATACCTGAACCGGATAAACCTCTATATTTGCCTCAGCTAAAGGCTCTTAGATTTTTCCAGTGTGCGATAAGTATCTTGATTTATTTTGCGAGGAAAGATCTGCACTTTTAAAGGATGCCTGTCATTCTTAATACGTTCAATTTCGTATAATACTGTGCAACACCTCTGTTGTGAAACAGTTGCTTCAGGCGCCGCCGCAAGGCGGGCGGGCGGCCAGTCCGGAACGCGCATTGGCGCCTACAAACCTAAGTGGATACTTCAAGCATTGCGCAATGCGTGAAGTATCCACTTAGGTTTGTAGGCGCCAGTGAGCTTCTCGCGCTGGCAGCACGGCGCGGCGCTCCGCTCTGTTAGGCTTTACTATTTATACTCGCATAGTCAGCGTTTTTTAACTCAGGATTTTGAAATGTTTGCACACTCTGCATTGATTATTCTCGTTTAAATTGCTGGGAAAAAAATATAAATTAATTTATCAAAGGAGAATAATAATATAATGTGTGGTTTTTAAATATTGGTGGTTCCGTGTCAAGATTAACGATTTCCAAAGCTTTTTAATTTTTTCTTTTACATTTTGTGCTTTTATTATGCTGCAGCGAGGTGTACGCGCAACCAAACGCTCAAAATTTAACGTATTTGCCTCTAAAAGATCGTTGTACAAATGGCTTAAAACTAAAGATTGCGTGCTTCTTGGTTTTTTTCCTCTTTCATTCATTTTTGCAGTTTCTGTCGGCACAACTGCGGCTTATTGAGATTAATGTCGCTTGGAAAAGGCTTTACAAATACTTGTCACGTTTTAAAAATATAAATTTTTTCAAAATGCAGTAATAATTTCGTAAAGAAAATATTAAAAAATGGTTTAAAAAAGTACCTATACATGTATAAGGTATGTATATTTTACATCAAATATTTTAAGGATGGAAATAAAACCAAATATTCACCAATGACAATTTAAAAAGATGATTCAAAAGGAGAAAGTGAAAACAGTTCATTTTGAAAACGAGCAACCATAACAACAACACCTTCTCTCTCAATTTCTCATTTCCATATTGTCAATATAATTGTACCTACCGACTAAAATATAACGTTTGAACCAAGTCACCGTTGCTTATTTTACGTGTGGGCGTAAACTCCTGGACGAAAAAGGTGCGCGGACAAAGAATCGTCGACAAAATGTCCTGAAACCTTAGTTCTCCGTCGGAAAGATAAAACACGAGAGAAAATTTGGCAACGTGGAATGCAGTTAGGCTGATTTTCTCGAAATCCATCCTATTATTCTGCCGTGCTAAGGAAAAACGCCGTATGAACATTCGAGAGTTGCCAAATTTCCTCCGAAAAAATATGTAATTTTGACTAAATTCATGCACATTTTTCTTTGAAATTTTCATATGTTTTCGATAAAATTGCGCACGAAATCGTCTGAAAATTTTGGAAAATAATATTCACAATTTCCCCAGTAAATTCGGTTTTTATTGGAAGAAACTTGGCAACGTCTGAAGGCTCATACGGCGTTCTTCCTTAGCACGGCAGTATTCCTATTATATCTATTTCTTGTGCTCGGCGACATTATTTCATGAAGATATCCTCATTAGCAACGCGCCTTACGCCCTTTTAGCGGAAAACGCCGTAATTACCACTCGCGGCTCCGAGGAAACTCGAGGATTTTAGGAAGAGATGATAGGCGTTACGCAATGCCAAGTTCAACCGCACCCCCCCCCCCCCCNGGTTTATCAGTATCGCGAGGTTCGATTTAAGTGTCGTGGTATGTCGAGGAAGAACCACGCAACGGCAACGCTATCCCCTTGCGGATGAGAGGTTTTTGCCGCGGGCGGGCGGCGGCAGTGTAACGTGTAACGCCGAGTAGTGATTAAAAAAATGATTGCGAGGAGCTCATCAGTTTCGAGCAAACGAGCTTCCCGTTCGCGATCCGGAGAGAACCGGAGGAGTAGCATCTTGGAAAGCAGGCAGTAATGATTTTCCGCGCTACCCGCCTCGAACGAGAAAAATTAATTTCGGGGATTACATTGACGGCGCCTAATGATGGCCGGTTTTTGTTTTGTTTAGTCGAAGCCAAAGAAAAAAAAAATAAAAAAAAAAAAATAAAATCAAAAGGGGTGCAAAAAACGGTTTACATTAGGTCAGGCATGGGCAATTTGAATCGCCAACCCCCCCTCCCCCCTCTTCGCCCCTCAATTTTTGCGAACACTGATCACGCGAAATAACAGACTGATTTACTGACCACGTCATTTGATTTTGATGTATTCGATGGTTCCATCCAGAACAAATGAGCTGCTTTGATATCGATCGTTTTGATGCCGCGCTTTTTGAGAAGAGTCCAGTTCAACGGCGATTTGTCGAATGTCGTAAACTCTAAAGCTGATTCTATTAAATGATCCAAATAGTATTTACTGTTTACATAATGCAAGCCATTTGTTCTTTGTCGCTGCCAACCTGACCCCTGAATGCGCAGCTCGCAGTCAGTTTCGAGCTGAAAACCAGTCGCATGTGAATTTTCTACCAAGCAGCCAGTAGCCCGGTAACCGGCCGCGATTTTACCGAGTAGAAATCGGTGTTGAACGACCTTGAGAACAAATAGCATTGGTGACGCGACGTTAAAAACAGTGGCAAATTCAATAATATAAGATCAACCCTCGCTAAATTTAGTCGTGGTGCACAGTTTTATATTGTTGAGCCAAGGAAAAACGCTGTATAAATCCTCAGACGTTGCATATCCTTCTGATGAAGTACGAGTTCTCTTAAGAAGAAAATAGTGACCATTTTCTTTTGAATTTTCCTAGGGTATTGTATTCGCAATTTCATCTGGGATGATTCGGAATTTCAAGGAAAGATATCCGTAACTTTTCTCAATATTTAATATTTTATCGGAGGAAATTTGGAAACTTTCAAATTCTCTAACTGCGTTTTTCTAAAGAGTAACAGTACAACTTTTTCCTACCCGTAAATAACTCCTGGTTATGAGGGGAGGGGGTTTAAAACTAGCCGTCTCCGAAATTACTGACCGCTCACGGAGCAAGCTCCTCAGAGATCATGGTGATTAGGACCGGGAAGAATTGGGGAAACTGGGATTCATCAGGGAATGAAAACTTTCAGGGAAAATTAAGGAAAAAATCAGGGAGTCTGCTTCAAAAACCAGGAATTTCTCTTCTTTTACCGCTTAGAGACTATTTTGTTTTCAAACGCCACCATTATTAACATGAATAACACTTTTGAATCTTCAAATCGTCAAAATACTGGAGGAGCTTTCATCGACCAGATAATGAACACATCGGGAACGTGTTTAGAATTGAACATTTGAATGTACGCCAAAGAATCGCCTGAAAAAAAAAGGGGAAAAAATTAGTATTCATGTCTGGAACTCCGTAGGATTCTACAGTTTTCCCCAGGATAATCCCGGGGAAGTGAAAGATAACTTCGGTTTCACACCAGAAAATGAGTTCCATAAAATCAGAGAAAGTTAGGGAAAAATCAGGTAATCAGCATGGTCAAGAATTCTAGACGCCATTATTTTCGGACAGTTCCGCCATCTTGAATTTTTCTAATTTTGAAAATTTGATTTGAAATTCAAGTTTCCCGTCAGTAAATACACTCAGGCGCCAAGTTTCACAAAATTCGATCGAAGAGGTGCCGCCTATCGTAGGCTCAGTTGGTCTCCCTACACACACGGTGGTGAACGACTCACGTTAGTGCGCCTTCATTTTCGTCTGATACTGTGCAATACCTCTGTGGCGGAATAGTTGCTCAGAGCGCCTTCTAAAGTATCGCTTCGATTTGATGGCAGAAGGTCACGATTGCCGCTGATATCGCACTGTAACGCGTGCGCAGTTCCGCATTTTCTTATCATCGTAGGTGCCGTAAAATAGGTTTATTCATACCTCAATTTGTGACGTTACAAGTTTTTACTGCCTATTTACGGGGATAAACCAATAAAAACACTTTGAAATCTGCCGTGATTTTCCGGTATAAGACGATAAGTATAATTTTAATGCTTCATTCAAGTCTTATATGATGAAGCATTTGTATTCAAATGCAAAAGGTTCTCACTGCAGTCATTCTGGATTCTGGAAATTGATTTTTTCATTTCATTATTTTTTTCTTTTTCCTTTTCTATTTTACAGTTCGATATCCGTACAATGTAGACTTGGCAAAGCCTTCACAAGCAGGCATTAAAGGTGGCATGAACTTTTACATTGACACTGAGGATGGTGCTCGGCTTGGCACTTGGTAAGACCATTCCCCCCTTTTTGCATCATTATTTCTTATTTTTTTCCAAAATATCGTCGTGTTATGGAGGTGACACGTAAATCTTGAATACAATTTTCTGCACTCTGGTCATTTATAACGTGATCAATTATAAACAGTTTCTAAGCTTAGAAAGTATAATAGATTCTCCTAAATTATTCACCTTTTTCTGCTGTGTTAGTATCCTTTTTAAATATGAAAACATTTGGCAGCTAAACATTTTATTTTTTGAATCTCTTTGGTATTACGCCCCCCCCCCAAAAAAAAAGAAAAGAAAAAAAAAAATTGGAGTCATTGCTAAAATTGATGAAAGAAAGAAAGAAATGAAAACTCTGGACATTCTGGCACACTGAGGCCTTATTATCAACTAAAAAAAACCACCCAAGGGGGATACAAAATTTCAATCAATGGCAAGGACGTAGTAATTCCTTACAGCCCAATATTGGTACCACCTCTAACCCTCCTCCTCACTAGTCACCTCAATATTAATTGTTTTTTGTTTTTGACAGGCACATTCTTCCGCAGCACTTGGCGGAAGAAGGGGATAAATTATCAAAACTAGAGAAGAAAGACCGTTTTGATGAATGGGTCAGAAACGGGGACCCTGTAGTTCTTTATATGCATGGCAACTCAGGAACACGAGCTGCCTCTCATCGTGTTGATCTCTATGAAGTGTTCCAGAAACTGAATTTCCATGTAGTAGCTGTAGACTATAGAAGTAAGTATGCCACCCAAATCCACTTATTTTCCACTCTGACGCATTTGAGTTTTTTCATGCTTTTAAGTAATGTTTACATTTTCTCCTTCCAAGAATGTTGCCTTGCTGCCGTGTCAGATTTTAAGAGGAAATTTTTCAGTTCCAAAGTTGGTGCAAAGACATGCTATGAAAAATCTGAAAATTTTGTTAAGGAAGAATTTCTCCTGTCGGAACTTCTGAAAGGCTCTAATCTTATTTAAGCATCTCATCAGCAAAGCTCAAATTTTCCTCTAGATTCGGCTTTAAAAAAAAAGATTTGCTAGATCCTCGAAAAGTTATGACATTGTAAACTTACAAGAAACTTGTTACCCCTGTGTAACAACTTTTCCTAAATCTACCCATGAAGTTTGCTCTAAAATAAAATTGGCTCTTAGTCCTGCTGATATTGACACCACACAATGAAAATTTTAAACATTGAATTTATTCATCACCTGAAGGATGCTTGTTTTTGCCCCTCTCTTCTTTATTTTTGTGCAAGGTATTAGGCAATAAGTTCACAAGGCCTTCACAATAGGTATCATACGTTTAGTAAACCATATTTTCCTGTAGTCGTTGTCTTATTTTCTTTTCATTTATTTCGTGCCTTTTTCTTTTTTGTTTACAGCTTACGCAGACTCCATTGGTGAAGAGTTAAGTGAGAATACAACTGTGATAGATGGAAAAGCCGTTTTCAAATACTTCCACCAAAGGGTCCAAAACGACAGGCTGTTTGTTTGGGGTCACTCCTTAGGAACAGGGTGAGTAGCCACAAAATATGATATTTACATTATCTGAGACAAATATATCACAAAATTCCACTTGAACACTAAAAAGCGACATTTATAGGAAAAGAACCTTTGTCCATTAATACTCAACATCGAATTATTGACACCATTGCTCAGAGGAGTCTTTAAACATTCAGGAAATAAGAATACCCAAAAATTTCAAACTAAATCAGAGCTATGGCAATGTGAAGTTTTTAATCCAAAGAATTAGTTCGTGAAAAATATATTTAAAATTCTTTAATCTGTCATGTTCAATGAACTAAACTTCTTGTTCATTGGCGTCACTCACAACTTACTTTTTCGGACACGGGAGAAGGTTCTTGGTTGAAATCGTAAATCCTGATTTCTTGATGTAGGTAACTCAACTAGATCACTCTACTAAATGATTTTCCTCTGTGGTTCATGGTTCCTTTTCCTGTGGAAACGCATAAATTTATGATGGGGATGTTTTTTTGTTATTAAATTTTGGAGTTTTTGTTTACCTTAAAAAATAGACCTGTTCTTTTCAGTTCTATTTCCAATCAGTTTCGAACAGCTAAAACATGGGGTCAAGTCTTTGAATAAGAGAATTCAAAACCAAGTTATTTATTTCAATGAATCAAATTCCTGAACCGAAGAATGTTGCTTTAGTGACTGGAGTTTTCTATATTTTTTGCCCTGTGTTTTTGCAGAGTATCTAGTCATTTTGTATCAGAGTTGGAAGAAGAAGGTATTCTTGCTGCTGGATTGATGTTGGAAGCTCCTTTCAATAATATTCGTGATGAAGTACGGGAGTTCCCACTAACACAGGTATTATTTCTCACATTAGATATCTTCTTCAGAGAGTTCATATGAGCTCATTGTTTTTTGAGAATTTTCAGTGTGTGATCAAACATTTTATGTGGTCTCCAATCTTTTCTTTATGCTTCGGAATGAATTTCTGGATTTTCCAAATGTTCTAAAGTGATAATCTTTTTCTTGTATGTGACTTTCAGAAATTTTCTCTGTTAGCCTATCCTAATTCTACTACCTTTCTTTTTTCACAAGCCTTGATGTAAGGAATGTTTTGCATCTTTGGAGTTAACTAATCCCCATGGAATTGAACCTCAATTGACCCGAGTAATAGTGAGAGTAGCTTTACAGAATCTTGGAAAGATTCCTACTTCTGTGGACACAGTGTCCTAACTTCATTGAGCACCTTGCCCAAAATGCATCTAATAATGAGGCTTTGGAGCCTAAAGACTTGAAGCACTGACTAGACGAGGTGCCTAAATAAAGTCAGATGCAATTTGTAGCAAATTTTTAAAGTTGCGATAGCGCATCATGCCCACATTTGTAATGACTCAGTTTTACCCCAAAAATTTTGTGGATGACTCCCAAAAATTAGGATTGCCAGCCATGGCTCCTAAAAATGTTACCCTAAAGTTGGAATATTAAATGGGCAATCTTGCATATTAACTAAGGACTCACATTTTCAAGCGCATAGAGCATAGCGCAAGCGCTTAATTAGCATCTTCAACGTAGCATTGAGTAATCCAGTATCTTTATCTTCAACCCTATATAATTTTAGAATAGTTATAATCCACTGATTTGAAAGAAATCTATGTGATAGTCATCTTTGTTCTTTTTATTCTCAGATGTTCCGTTTTCTTCCCTACTTTGACTACTGCTTCTTGGACTCCCTCGCTGATCATGGTTTATATTTTGCATCGGATAAAAATTTATTAAAAACTACAGTTCCCATATTGATCCTCCATGCGGAAGATGACACAATTATCCCATTAAAATTAGGAAAACTGGTAAGTTAATGCTTTCCCTGTTTTTAATGTCAGTTTTAACATAAATAGTAATAAATATTCAAAAATTCAAAGTGTAGGTTCGAAATGATAACTAATGTTTCGAAGCCATACCAAGCTCTCACGCCTTAAAGTTGTGCTCATTTCAGAGAAGATGCTCCTCAGCCCTCTCTCATACCATTGTCAGAGTGAAAAATAACTCAAAAAAGAAAAAAAAATCAACATAAATGTTCTTTAATTTTATACATTTTTAACTGAACGTCAACATTCTGAAGTATGCAGTAATAATACTTCAGTAAAATAATTTCCATAGAATTTCAAGTCTAGTTGACTTCTTTAACTTTTCCATCACCTCACTCAAATATTTTCATGTTTCATGACACCAGTGCTGTGAACAATGCCGAGAGTTCTAATTTTGCGCAACTTGTTTATTTTTCCCTATTTCCTCCTCTCGCATTAACTGCAACCATGCGAGCCTCTGTTCACTGCAGCACACTATTCTTAGCTCGGCAAGGAATAAGTTAAGTTGGAGGTCATTTATCCATCAAGTTTATGGGAAACAGAATTTTAATAGAACTCTCAGAATTTCAGAATCATTACGATAATTCGAAGAAAAAACATTTTAACTATCTCTCAACATAATTATACTTGTTATTTTCAATTTTTATAATCTTAAATATTTTTTCAGTTACATGAAGCTGTTCGAAAGAGAGGAGATAAATACATCTCAGAGATGAAGACTTTTCCTGCAAAGCATCATTACGGTCACAAATTCATTTGTCGAGCTCCTGAGCTACCAGAACTCATTGAGTAAGCAAAACTATTATCACCTTTAATGAATAGTTGCTTAGTTGTGCCAAATTAAGTTCCTTAGTTTCATCCTTGTCACTTCGAGACAGAATATAGCTGTGAAAATTGTTTTTAAAGGCTGCAAAAACAGAAAGTGTAATGGCTTTGTAAAATAAGTCATAAACTTCAAATTTTGAAGCCTCTCAATTGTCCTAGAGATGACATTTTCTTTAAAAATTAAATGTTTTACATATTGAGTCAACAATGTCATTGTTGAGACCAAATGTCGATATCCAACCACCGAAGGTGTCATCAAAGAATTTAAATCTCAAGTGAACAATAGAGGTTAGTAACAATTATGTGATTTGGAGCAAGAGGAGTTCTAAAATTGAAAATAAAATGAAGTTTTGCAGCTCCAACAAAGTTCAAAGTGATGTTCCTAGGCTGAAAATTGAAGTTTTGAGTAAATTTTTTGTTGATTCAAGTTTTGTTCAAAATTACCATCACCTAAGTAGCCTTTTTCAACTGGAAAATTTCGAGTTTATTACCCTTTTATCTCATATTCATAATTTCCTGGATCATCAAAATTGAAGAGTTTTGCTCAATTGTATCTCATATTTATAATTTCCTGGAGCATCAAAATTGAAGAGTTTTGCTCTATTGTATCTTGTTGAGATTGCTTTTTGATCTCAATTTATTACATTCTTTCCCTGACATTATTGCCAAAAATAAGTATTGCCAAAGAAGCAATTTTCTTGCAATACATGCCAACTTTTGAATTCTTTCAATTTTACTGAAAATTGCCATCAATAAAAGTGATATTATTCACAAGTGTAGTTGCAACTTTTCATGGTCACTCCTTGCAAAAGGAATATTTATTTACTAAAAGGAGGGGATTTTTAAAGGATTTACTAAATAACTAATTTTTTTTCTCTTCTTTTTTTTCTCAGGAACTTCAAGACAGCATCAATGAATAATTTCAAGAATAGAATCAGCTAATACTCATCAAAAGCTCCAGAGCTTTTGAAGCATTTGTCAAGACTGAGCCGGGAAGACATATTTGATGGATCATCATCCATGCACCTAGTCAAAAATTTTGTTTTGTTGCTAAGTTGTTATGCTCTTCTTTCGGTGTCAATATTTTAGCTGTAAAATTGGCCGTCGTGATCACTCATCCTTGTAAGACATTCATCAGTCTTTGGACTGAAAAATAGATGGCTGTTGGTAATAGTCTCTCCGGCAGCATTGTACTCCCCCTTCTCTTGTCAGGGGAAGTGATATGTCAGCGATTAGAAGCTAAAGCCATCCAAAAGTGCAAATCTGATAATGCGAGGAACGGAAGTCCTTAAGTTACTACCTCCTTTCCCCGGGCCTTGCTCATTTCTTTCTGACATTGATCACATGATTGGAGAGAGTTATTTTGCATTATTAAAAGGGCAGCTTGCTTCTGGAAACCACTTAATTAATGCCTTGATTTAGTTACCCTCAAATAATGAGAAATGAGCATTTCTATTTTAAAATCTTATCAAATTTGCGCATTTGGATAGTTGTCATAAGAAACTGAGAATTATCTCAATTATCATTTTTTGATACGTTTTAGCAGCTGTTATATTTTCTGTTTGATTTCAGTTCGCATTGAATGTGATCATTTGCTCATCCTAGATTTTTTTTTAAAATTTCTAAAGAGCTTCTATTTTTTATTAATTTCATTCATCAGAAATCGACAATAATTGTGGCTGGTAAGATCCTCAAAGAATTTTCTAGAGCCAAAAATGAAAAAAAATATATATTTTGTGAAATTAAGATTTCACATTTCTCTAACATCACTTTGCAACAGATTGGGAGCTGCATAAAAAGTCCTGATCTGGCTCGCCTTCATTTGTTCTCTGTGATTTTTTCGGCGACCGGGGTATGGAGATGGTTTTAGTCCAGTGTTTTTAGTCAGTTATTTAAAAAGGCGGACCTTCTTTGTGTGGTTCAGCTTGATTGCCTCCATTTAAAAAAATGCCCTAAATCTTGCATCACTCTTTCTTTTGAGAGAAACTGTTTTTAACAAAAATTTCACTCTGTTGCAGAATCTTTAAAATGATGCAAAGTACAATAAAATAAATTTTACTAAAATCAGGAAAAAAAAATTATTTTGTCTAAATAGGCTCGCATTAATCTTGTTGGATCATGTTTGATCAACTATGTAGCCAAGCAAACTGAGACAAGTAAGGAGAGAAGTAACAGTACATTCGCTCCTAATGAAATAGGGTAAAAATAAGAAAAACGCATTTCATTTAAGCCCGGCCAAATGCACATTCCTGTTAGATCAGTGGAGTCTGGGCCTCCCTTAAGTCGGCATTTTTTATTTAAGGCGATAGTCAGTCTCTTCTCATGTAAAATGAGATTTTCTGTAATTGTGATGTGAGTACTTTAATTAAACTGGCGTGCGCTTCAAGCCCCAGTGCAGGCCATACTTTTAAATTTTACGGTTTTGAGTTAATTATTTTTGTAATTTTTTGTATCAAATAAACAGCTAGAAAATGTTTTTAACACAGTTCACTTAATATTCTCATGTGCTATATTAGATAATCATGTTTTTTGACTTGTGAGGATTCTTATAGGAAGTTCTGCAAAAATAGACCCGTGTAAGGTGTAGAATGAACCATTTACCTCACGAGTCAAATTAAATCAAAGCAATAATCAATCAAAACTCTCAAGTTTGTTTGAAAAAGAAGATCTACCTGTTACTCGCATGGTTAAAAATTGTTCTAATTTGTAGCATAGGGTCAATAAATTACAGATTTTTTTTATTTAATTCATAAGAAAATTCATAGTGATTCATGAGAATACAGGTTTACACAATTTTCTCCAGAAAACACTTTCCATGTGTTGTACCTACAAATTCTAGAAATTGATAATTCTATGTTTCATTTTCTTTAATTTTTCTGACTGTCGCACTTTAATCCCACCACTCTCACAATGATTTACATTTTTTTGATGATTGTGTCCCGGAAACTGAAATTTAAAAAGCGGGCAACAATTTTCTCTGTTTTCTCTTCCCGCACTGCTTTTCTGCACGCACGAGAAATCCTTTTAATGATATGTTACTAAATTTTTAAACTTAAAAAACAAATGTATCATCATTTCGAGGCTCTTAAAACAACTACTCTCTCTGGGTGTGTTGCAAGATCCCCTTATCTCATTTTAGGATTCACAAAAAAACAAAGAAATCTTTATCGCTACTTGCAGACTTTGGTGCTATGCCTTCCTCCTTTCTAAAGAAAACAGAAATGATTTTCAGACGAACCGTAGGATATGTAAGCCCAATAGAATGTTTGGGTGCATTTAAAAAATAAAAGTTTTCCTATTTAGATACAGCCCATTCTCAAGGGAATGCAGAGAACTATGATGTGAAAATGTAGAATGACCAAAAAATTTAAGAATTAAAATCTTCGTCATTTGCTGCCTTTGATAAAGGTGTGATTACCCATGAAATTAAAGTGAATTTTTATCTAAAGCAATCTCTCATGGCAAGTGAGCTAGTTGGAATTTTCTGCACTCCTTAGTGCAGGAGTTGAATCGTTTGTACACTGAAATGTAGCTTTTATGTTTTTGATTTCCCAACAATCTGTTACTTTGCGTTTACTTGTACCATTTGTTAGTTTAATAAATTTTACATTTTATATAGTTTGGTTTTTTCTCTTCTTTTGAATAAGACCTTTCCTTCATTTTAATATTTATTCTTGAGGAAAAAGATACCTAGTTTTACATGTTTTTTGGAGATAAAAAGATACTTAGATGATTTCATTTTCAAATTTTTTCAAGGATGATGCCCTGAAGAATAAATTATATAGAATTTAAATTATGTCAACAACTTCTTCTTCAAAATGCTAAAAATTCATAAGCCAATCCTCTTCATACAAGTCACTTATATTATTGTGATCAGATTATCCGAAGGACTCATTTTTGCTTCTCTTTCAATCTTAAAGTATTCAGTTTTACTATTTTTTTCTGTTTTAAAATGAGAATACTGTAAATCCATTAGATTTGGTGCTTTATATTATCCCCGAGAAACACTACTGCCAAAGTGTCATTCTTAACTTATGCAACTCAGGGATAGCATGCCCTCAGTGCCTCTAATCGAACAACTTAATTGTCTTCATAATAAGAAATTAAAAAAGAAGGGGTTGTAGTTTTAATTGAAAGTTCTGCCATTCGTCCAATGAACGAAAAACATTTTTTTTTTTTTACCACAATTTTTTGCGCATTTTAGAAATAACATAAACGCCACAAGTTTTCCAATTCAGATAGGTGCCTTTACAGATGAACCAGATAAGATCCTCATCTTGTAATGCAGTGTGTTAAATTCGTCTCTGTTACTCGGCCCAGGGCCGTGCTAAGAAAGATCGCCATTTGAACATTCGAACGTTGCCACATCTCTCCCGATAAAATGTGATCTTTGAAAGAAGTCCCGAACTGCCGAGCTAAGGAATAAACATTCAGATGTTGTCATATCTCCCGCCGAGTAACATTAATTTGTGAAGCAATTTGTGAATATTTTTCCTTTAATTTTTCGGATACTGTAGATTAAATTGCAAATGAACTCATCAGAAAAATCGATGGAAAAACACTCCTAAAGTTCCCTTAAAATTCGTATTTTATCAAGGGAAATTCGGCAACGCATGAGGGTGCACCCGCGTTCTTCCTTAGTACGGCAGCCTAGCAGTAAGTATCCCGTCTTGAAATTTTTAGGTGTGGAAAAAGGAAGAGGGAATAAAAGTCTTTGAAAAAATTAAAAGAAAAATATTTTCAAAGTTTCCGGAAAATTCGTATTTAATCGGATGCAATGTGGCAACGTTCGATTGTCGATACGGCGTTTTTCCTTAGCGCGGCAGCACTGCAGTTGGAAGCTTACGGGAGGAGCAGGAACTTGAGGGTGGATGCGAGGGTGGTGACTGCGGTGCAGGGGGAGCGGGGGAGGGGAAACGCGAGAAGGGATGATCTCAACTTGGAGGGCTCGCGCAGCGCAGCGACTCGCACTCGGAGTCGTCGCGACGCTTCTGAGAAGGGAGAGAACACTGCGTTGCGACGCGCCTCGACGCACAGTGGGACGGCAAGAGAGGCGCAAATATATATGGAAAAAAAATAGCAATCATAAAACGTAATAAATTTAAAATTTATGATTTTTTTTTGTTTTTAAACACTTGTACAATGAACTCAGGATGCCTTAAAACGCATATGGCAGGGCCGGATTAAGGAGGTGGTCACATGGGCCGCGGCCCATGGCGACAAATCTAAGGGGCGGCAAAAATTTGCAAGTTTTTAAAGTGTAGGTATAAAAACAAATCGGATTTATAAAAACAAAATTACCAACGAGAAAAGGTGACAAAATCTCTCATTTCCTGAGAGAATAGCAATTTCTAATTTTGTCGTCTCTTAGTGATACAAGAGACAGCACCCTCAATAAGTCGAGTTACGAGAGAAACCAAACACGCAATTTGGCCTAGAACGGCGCGACTTAAGGAGAAATGATAACGAGGACTTGAGATGAAAAGGAGAAGCCCTCGGCGCGGCGATCGGCATGTAACATATATTAGCGCCTACAAGACTGCGCGAATACTTCACGCATTGCGCCAAACACAGTGCGGTCAGCGTGAGCGCCTACAAGACTGCTTGAATACTTCACGCATTGCGTCCAACACGGTGTAGTCCGCGCGGCGCGGCGGCGGAAGTTAAAATCATTGAACCACATTTATGTTTGTTCTTTCGTAATTTTTTCGTTCATTTCTTATGAGTGGAAGGACTTGTCCACACAGAGATAGGTTTACGGAACTTAACTTCCGCGCAAAGTTTCGTGAACTATTGCTAGTAGTGTTGACCGGGCTTTTCCAAAAAAATGTGTTCAACACGAGTAAATGCACCCGTCCCCCGCTGGCACGTTCATTTGATGGTTTTTATCGAGTGCCGAGACGGACTCCAGGGGCCCCACCGTGCGGCCGCTACGGACGGGCGCGCGGCCCACGAAATTGTGCGCAATCGCGCCCCCCCCCCCCTCCCCTCTCTCGCCGTCCCTTCGCGGGTGAGTGACGTGGAGTCACCATGAGCGCAGCTCGTGAAATTAGGTGTGCGTCCTGGTGCGTCAGTGTGTGCGCGTCCACGTGTTGTTGTGGTTTCCGAGCCCTCGGCTCCCATCACGCGTTCCTGTTCCTGTCGCAGAATATAAACACCCGATCGCAACATCTGGAAACGCAAGGATAGGACTCGATTCGACAGCATCTTCGTGTTACGGTACGTCTTTTTCCGGTAAACTTTCGCGTGGGTCCTTATCATCGGAGGTTGAGTGATAACAGACGTCAGTTTGGCATGGCGTGCGCTCACGCATCGTGAGTTCGTGAGTCATGACAACGACAAGCGTCCGATCCCTCAGGGTTACGGGTTCACGCAGGTTATCATCCCTGTCATTCGTCCCTTCACCTCCTCTCCGTTTATCGTGATTTTGAAAGTAGGTGGATTTCGTACCTGTTTGAATTCTTATGAGGAAAGCCTTTTTAATACTTGTAAAATCGATATTATGTTGGGTGATAAGGTCGCTCTTATGAGTCTCGTTCCGTATAAAAGTTTTTTCAATATAAGGCGAATGGAATGGAAAAATCAGACATTCATCTGACTAAACATTTGTAAGAAAAAAAGTCGATAGCTGTTTTCAAAAAATGTTTTTGCCTCCGATTGCTGCGGTGCAAGTCTCCCCTTTATGTTTTACTATTTATATTATTTAGAAAAGTAATAACCAATATTAATAACTCATTTAAAAAAAAAAAAAAAAAAAAAAAAAAAAAAAAAAAACATTTTCCGCGGCGATCATTTTTTTCCCTCTAAAAAATAAAACATTCATAGATTAGAGGTAAGCCCCCAGACAGCTTCGCGGTCCGTCCTCCCGAAGCAGTGCTTTGAACCTCAAATGTTATGCGTTATGCGTTATACGTTATGCATTTCTCTTATGATTTTATACTATGGAGTATGATCTTTAAACGTTGCATCGTAGATACGCTTTTTCCGACTTGGCTATCGATATGAAATGAAGTCAAAGATACCAAAAATTTTGCATCAGGTCAAGCTCGTTAAAAAAAGGTTGAATCTTCTGAAGCAACACAATATATACTTCAATCCTGAAAAAGGGCAAAATTTTACCTGAAAAAAGAAAAAAGTAAAAAATTAAATAAGTAATAGAAAAATAATTTTTTCATGTTTGATTTTTGGGCTCCATTTACTTTAATTTATTTATTTAATCTTTCGTTTTTCCGTAACCAATGTCCTTTTTTCACTAGTACCGTGGTTTTAAAAACACATTTTGACATACTGATTTGACCGAGCTATTATTGCCACAAAACAAAAATTGAACGCAAATTTTTCCGCATATAAAAACAATTTAACAGTAACACGATGTCTACCATTTTCATTGAAGAAATTGAATTGTAAGGTATAGGAATAGGTATGAAAACCTTGTCGCTACCAGAAGCTCAACATAACTCTTGTTCGAAGTTTTGAAAATCTGCCCTTTGGATGTTTCCGCAAAACTCTCTATCGATGAGAGATATCTTGCCTGTGGTCCATGGCTGCAGCGAAAGCGAAACCCAGCATGAATGAAACACGTGCGCAGCGCGCGTGTTTTGAAATCTTTAATGACCTTGAGCTATTTACGTCATTCATCCGATCGCGCGCGGCCCGCGGCACAGCCGTCCAATCGCAATCTCTCCTCTCCATTGTTTATTCTCTTTACTCCATAGTATTGGCTGATACCGTGATAACTTTCCCTCCATTTCTGCATCCGTTATATGGGATCTTATATTCTTTAACCCTGCTTAAGTATTGAATGGATTCATTCTACGAGAATAAGCCTAACTGAATTTCACGTCGTCTAAATTCTTTTAACATCTTATTTTGTCAATAGAAATCCAAGTAACACGGTGCTTTGACAAACCTTTCTGTGAACCCCCCCCCCCTTTCCAGAATGAACTCACAAAATGTCAAATCGGTATATTACTTAATTTTCTGCTAAAAGAATGGAACGCGAAGGAAAAGTAGACAACGTGAAATGCAGTCAGACTGATTCCGGATGAATGTGTTCCAATATCGGTCTTTCCAAATATTCGAGCATGAGCGTATGCAGTATGCACAAACTTATACAGAGATAGAGCCATATCGCCGCACGGTGGATCGAGTCAATGAGAGAGGTCGCACATGAAAACATCGACTAAAACTGCAAATTTTGATGTTTATTTCGTCACATTTTAAGCTTTCAGGGGTGCTTTTTGAAGAAAATTTTACGAGGAAAACATTGAGACTACTTTTAGAATCTCTAAGTTTTGTATAAAGGGAGTTATGAGCGTTTAAAGTTTCCAAATTCTGTCCGACCTCTCCTATTGACTCGACCCATTGTGCGACGGTGCGAAACCACGTATCTCCATTTACAATGTTGCAGCGACTTCCTGTCATACTTTATTTTTTCTTCGGAGAACTAGTCAACGTAAATTCACGAAACTTCCATAATTTGAACGTATTTATGCTAAAACGTATTATGTGCACAAGATTTGCGTGCAACATAGTTCCTTTCAGCAAAAATACGTCTATTTTTCTACTCTGTCGGTAGAACGTCCTGTCTAAATTTCAAGCTGCGAAGTAGACTTGTTTCTCCTCGCAAAAATAAACTGGGAGCGGAAATTTTAAAACATCACAATGGAGATACGTGGTTTTGCACTATGACCGTCGGTATACTGCCATGCTAAGGGAAAACGCCGTATGAGCCCTCAGACGTTGCCAAATCTCCTTATTTCTCTTCCAATTTTACAGAGGATTTTGCTCGTAATTTGATCTAAAAAATCTAAAAATTGCAAGGTCAAATATTCATAATTTTCTTCAAAATTAAACCTTTTCTGAGAGGAAATGTAAAACTCTCGAATGTTCATACGGCGTTCCTCCTTAGCACGGCAGTATACATGTGAGGAGCGACCAGCAGCGTTCCCTTACCGATATTATTTTACAGAGAACAGAATGGACACAAGGAGTGCATAAAGAATCCGCACATGACTATTTCGCCTTCGATTCCGAGGTAGGCCAAAGAACATACCTCTAGTCCGTGCTCAACAAAATCGAGGCCCTGGAAGCAAAAAGGGCATTTCTTGGTTGCGGTGTTTCAGAATCTCCACTGCTATTAATTTACATTTTAGAGAAGAAACTATTGGTGCGATTTTCTGAAATTTTAGTTTTCAGCATTGTAAAATTACATAGAAAAATTACCTAACAGTTAAAACGAATTCCATGTATTCGCTTCAGTTATAGTGGATGAAACGTTAAAGGTCGAGATCCTGAGATACCGCAACCTAGAATTGCCCTATCCGCACCCAGCGTGACGGTCACAAAGGTCGAAAAATATTTTCACTATCGCATTAAGTAGATGTGTTTCAATCAGGTCTCAAACTGAAATATTTTAGAGGTGAATTTGTTTAGGCTGTGTTTTAAGTTATAATCTTAAACTATGATCGTTGTCGACAGGTGATGGTGGCGTAGACAATCACGGAACTCTCCAACAACCGTAATCCAGCGTGAGACTCCCTCGGCTTAGGAAGCCCCCCCTCCCCCTCCTCCTCCAACGCCAGTGACGATCGAGGCTGATTGCTAGTAATTTGGTGACGGGCAGAAACACTGATGGGCCAACGTGCTGCGTCCGCTGGTATCACCGCCTCATCAGTCATGAGACACTGTCACAGTCAAGTCATATGGAACAGGAACGAGAGCAACTTTGAATCGGTATCCTATCATGAGTTACCGTCGTCTTTTTGACTCGGAGAATGGGCTCGTTCAAGGTAATTATGGATAATTTTATGATAATTGAGGGGCTGAAGGGCAAGGAGCATAAGTGCAGTTTTTGCTATTTCGAAAAATACGTGTTTGCAGTTCGAGAATTACACGGATTCTTATGGCAGAAAGGAGGTGCTAACTACCTTTTTGATGCTTAAAAATTGGAATTTGGGAGCGAAGTTTTCACAGAATATGCATTACGACTAGGATTACGTGAAATCATTGATACACAATTTTCTAAAAAACTGCACAATATGTGCCTTGTCTTCCAAACCCCTCAATTATTCCCATGAATCGTACAATTTCCAGATATTCCATGAATGGGGCTCAGGGCCGGATCAAGGGGGTGGCCACTTGGGCCGCGGCCCATGGCGGCGAAATTTAGGGGGCGGCAAATTTTGCAATCTTCTTGAATGTAGGTATCAAAAAAAAGAGAGAAAAAAAATCGGATTCAGAAAATAAATTACAAACGAGAAAAGGCGACAAAATCTCTCATTTCCTTAGAGTAAAAGTATAGTAATTTCTAATTTTGTCGTCTTTCGGTGATACAAGAGACAACACCTTTAGGGTCATTGCCAGAGATCCTACAATCGGCCCTTAGTCGAGTTAAAAGAGAAACCAAACACGCAATTTGACCTGGAACGGAGCGGCGTGGCGGTCGGCATGAAACACATAGCGCCTACAAGACTGCATGAATACTTCACGCATTGCGTCAAACACACTGCGGTCAGCAGCAGTCGGCTTGAAACGCATAGCGCCTACAAGACTGCATGAATACCTCACGCATTGCGCAAACACAGTGCGGTCGGCGCGGCGGTAGAAGTTAAAAGTTTTAACCACATTATATTTGTTCTTTCATAATTTTTTCGTTCTTTTTTATAAATGGAAGGCATTTTCCAAACAGGGATGGGTTTTCGAAACTGAACTTTTGTCAGTGTTGAAAGGGCTTTCCCAAAAAATGTGCCCAACACGAGGAAACGCGTCTTATACACCCCTCCCCCACCGGCACGTTCACTGGATGGTTTTTATAGATCGTATTCGATAGATCACACAGGTGAGATTATATTGATATCGATTGGTTCAATATGTAACCAAAGCCTCAAAAGTCAATTTAGAAGTCTGAGGTAACGGGTCTTATGTGATCGAATTTTTATTTTCTCGAGTACCAAATGGCGATGAAAAGTGAAATTGTCAGGAATTTTCTCATTTTCAGATTTTCCAAATTAAATCCTAAAATTTTCGTTTGAGGCTATGTTCTATTGTTTTGAACCAAACGACACATCGAACCACTGTCGAATACGATCTTTTGATGTTTCAAAACAAATAAGAAGGGAGCGGAATAACACAGGCGGCCCATGGGCGGCATGTAGGTAAATCCGGCCCTGATGGGACTTACTATTTTTAAGCCAAATCGGCCATAACACGGAATTCTTAAAATTTCTCAAGGGTACGCCAAAAATCATGAAAATCCTGTACATTCTAAAGCTTTTTCTCCATGTAAAAATCTTGTCAATGCAAATTTGCGATGATGTTTTAGTCCTTTCCAAGACTTCCGTGAGGAAACAGTTAGATAAAGACAGAGTCAAATAATATCAACAAAATGTCAGTACCAGATAGAGTACTCAAACCCGTGTAGACTTACTAACCTAAATTTTTTTTCAACCTAAATTTTACTTTCTTTCTCTGTTCCAGGTCTCCTTTTTCGTTCACATCCAATCGGGTTCTCTCCAGCCTTCGAGGCCAGCTTTCAAATATCGCCTAGGAACCAAATAGTCCACATTTGATGCTACATCGCCTGATGAACCCTGCAACATTTCCGCTTCGGTATCAACAAGCGAACTATAACCTTCAAGAACCTGACGCTAGAGGAAATCACTCGGTTCCGGTGTGAACAACTGGAGGAACCCCGACGACCCGGGACCCCGGTGGCGCTCGCGGTGAGTGACGCGCGGTGGATGAGGGTAGCCGATCCGGGCGTGGGTGTGGGCCGGCGATGGTCATCCCGCTGTCACCGTGCCGTGGAGGGGTTGGGACCGGGGCCCGGGCTTGGCCCCCCATCCCCGGGGCGGAGGCCCCCCTGACGGCCAGCGTCACCCTGTCCGGGGGCAGCGGCTCCCGCTCGCAAGACCGCGTCACGACGGGCACCCTCTCCCTCTCGCCGGCCAAGACCCTGGCCGCCCACTCGCTCGACTCACCGCCGCCGGACTACGAGAACAGCTCCGACGACGAGGACCTCAAGAGAGCCATCCTCTATGACGTAAGATTTTCAATATTTAATATAACCAGAGGCCGCGAATGAGTGTACCTACACTTGGATTGCATTTTGCAAAAAGGAACCACTAACATTGCAATGATGCTACGATTGTGCAACTTCATCTTTTGCAATAAAATTGCGGAAATCGTGAAAAACTTATGAAATTTAGATGGTAATTTTTGTCTTAAATTTACAGTTTTTAGCGAGTAAAATAGAAACTATTAATGGATAATCGGGTTTTTCCTCCAGGACAAAAGAAGTTGCACAATCTTAGCAACATTGCAATGCTATTGGTTCCTTTTTGCAAAATGCAATCCACTTCTAAAACGATTAATTGTTATATAACAACGTCGTCTTCGAATCCGATACGAACTGGCGATTGGATTCGGCGGCTGTCGGTGATCCAATGCCAGCGGGCTGATTATTGAAATTAATATACAAAGCGATAGACAAAGCAGGAGGCAATGAGAAAATGGAGCGATCCTATTGGTGGAAGCAGGTGGTTGCAATACATAAAGTATGTAAGTGACACACTATAACTGATGGCAACCCACGAGTGATCCTATAGGTAGTCCATAATTTCCCACTTTAGTATGTGACAACCACCCGTTTCAACCAATGGGATCGCTCCATTTCCCCTTTGTTTTCTATGTCTACGGCTCTGTACATCAATTTCAATAATCAGACCGCAGTAGGTCGATCCGATCGCCAGAAGTTGTCGATCAGATCACCAACTCCTGACGGATACAATATCTACCAAAGACCACTCTGTTGACAAACATTTTCTCGATATATACGTCATCGGGAGAGAATTGCCATTCCAGTCCTTCCATTGGCTCCTTCTTTTGTACCTAGGTAGACAGATGACGTCAGAATTCTACACATGACAAGGATTTTTTTAATCTCAACTGCTATAAAAAAGTTTTTTTTTTAAAAAAACTCGATAAATATTTTTGCAAAGGATTACACTTTTTTCGTGTGTTTGCTGATGTCCACGTACAGCGGAAGCATTAGTTTTAAATAAGGGTGTGCTTCATTGTCTGGAGTAAGTTTTTACCATCAAAGTTCAAATGTACATATAGCAAATCGTTATTTCACCACCCTTCCTCCATAAAGGCTTATGTATGCACATTAAACATGATAAAATCGTCGACATTTGTCGCAGCTCTGCCTTTCTTCTCTGATGCTTGTCAGATATATAGCTTTTTCATAAAGTCGAATTAGTTTTTTTTTTTAAATTCAAAACTAATGACCATCATTTGTATGTTTCTCTTCTTTTTTGTTCACAGAAATGGAGGCAACTTTTTGATAAGGTATGTACTAAGTTAACCCTGTTGAACTTTACAACGCACTATTTCTTTGATCAAAGCAAAATGTTTGTGTAAAAACGATGCAAAAGATTTGCAACGACCTTTCTCCCAAAGAGGAGGGCAAAAAAGTAAGATGCCTCCCAATTCTGGGTCAATATCTAGCGTCAGAAAATTCTTCATGGATCACCATAGAAAATAATGTTTCGTCTCCCATAAGAAGACGGTACAGGGAGACGGTAGACGGTGGTTTGACGTACATGTCGGCCCATCCTGGCCTGCATGTACGTCAAACCATATCGTTTTCCTCACGAAAATATATGTCAATTTTGCAACATTTCCCAACGCAAATTACATTTTTACCGGGAGAATCTTGAAAATTTCTAATACTGTCGATTTTCCTGATTTTTCTTTTGACCTCATGCAAAAATCGGAAAACATTTGGACAAAAATTGCACAGGCTGCATGTTCTTGTTAAAATTAAATTCTAGTCAATTTTGCAACCTTAGTATATAATTACGTTCCTTCGAGAGGAACTGAAAGTGCTAGTCCAACGGAGAGCAGCGACATTCCCACTTGACGGCGGCGTGCGCCTTCATTTTTGCCAAATATGCAATACGCGCTCCCAAGAGTCGAAATAGTGGTAGCGTGGCCAGGCGCTGAGAAGCTGAAATGTACATGTCAAGAATGAAGCCCGCTTGGCGAACTGCGGCGACACACATTACGGTTGCTATTGATACGCCCCAGTTCTGAATCTGACACTAAGAGACTTTCCATTGTCTCGATTAAGAACATTTTCCGGAAAAGAAAAATAAGACATTTTTCCTAGCATCAAAAGCAAGATGGGTTTGTTTTTCTTTCATGAATAGAAAAACGAAGTAAGAGCAATAATCTAAAGGCAATTCGTCCCAGATTTTGGCGTGGTCGAACTGGCGTGCGATATAAGTAAGTCGCACCCGTGAAGTAAATCAGCTCGGCGGATTTTGAATTTTTGTCCAAGGGGATTTTTTCAAAATGACGATAGCCTCTTGCGCACGAGCCGAAAAAATCGTTCTCAACCAACAAAGTAGCAACATTCAGAGCAATGAAAGCAGGATTATTTTTAGAAAACAACCTCGCATTCCATACAGTCATCGACTTCTGTTCCAAATGCGAGTTTTTTATCCGTAAAGGCTCTTGCCTTCATTTCTCTGAATTTTTCAATTTTGCTGGTTGAAAATGATTTCTTGAGCTCATGCGTAGGGGCTGTCGCCTTTTTTTTTTTGGGGGGGGGGGCTAAAAATTCAAAATATGCCAAGATTTTTACGTAATCAATGCGATTTATCGCTCGCCGGTTCGACCACGGCAGAAACCGGGACGAACCACCTCAAAACATCATTATTTTTCAATGTCTCATGGTTGGTTTGTTTTTTTGCTATTGGTAGTACGATGTGGAGGGCTACGGCGAGATCCCGTGGGACGATCTGCTGCGCGCACTGGTCATGCCGGATTTCATCGCCCAAGTTTGCCCGAACAAGAGGGAGATGCTCGCTGAGAAGGCTTACGAAAGGAAGACCACCGCTATTACCTTCCAGGACTTCGTTAACGTCGTAAGTAGAACACATTGTTTATGAATTATCGGACCACGTTTAGCAGAAAGGAACCGCAAGCCGCATCAGCTTCCGTCAAATTTAACTGGGCAATTTAACTTTTTACGAAAGAGCAAGTGTGATGTAATGTTTAAAATTTTAAGTAATTTGTTTCTTATTATGCAGAAAATTCACTGACGTTTGCACACAAATCCGAACAACCGTTTTCACGTAAAAAATTAGATTGCCCAATAGCATTTGGCAACTGCTGATATGGCTTGGTTCCTTTTCGCTCAGCGCGGTTCTATTCCTGCTGCATTATAACCCCATGAGTCGAATGGTTCCGGCCCAGTGGCGATTCTCGCAAGTTGGCAATACTGTTTTTCTCCATTTAAACCCATGTTAAACAATCGATTCTAGGTTACCGAGAATCGATGTATTCAATAGATTTAAATAGAACAGTATTAATAGTGTTGTTAACTTGCTGGAATCGCCACTCCACTGCCCAGCCCAAAAACACGTAGTGTGCCATGTTCACACGCAAATGTAGAGTAGTGTATAGTGACAGTATGGACACCAGAGGATATTTGGTCATTTAGTGCCTTAGGAGGCCTTTCATTAGGAATATAAAACAAATGACGGGCTAGGCATTCGGGAGATTCAAAGTGCCAGAAAATGAGTTATTATACTCGTTTGTTTTACCATGAACGTCATTCTTGTCACATAATAAAGTCGTAGAAAAAACCCCTCGAATTTACGAAAAAGAACTGTGTCAATTAACCAGGGATCCCCCCCCTTCCCTATTTCAGTTCACATTTGAAGCGAGTGGACTTGGTTTATACTAAAGCGACGTAGCAAAAAAATTGAGAGGAAGTCGCATTTCAGGGCAATAAAATCGCAATTTTTTATCCTAAGATTGCAACATTATCAAATCTCGGGGTCCATAAATGCATGTCGATTTTCAAGATCGATAAAATGAGTTCCATAAATTAGAAATATAGCCGCTTTGCCATGCTGAGAAAAATACTACTATTTTCAATCGTTTGATTATCGCAATAATTGTCGATGCGAGGAGCTCCTTCAATTGGTAGATAGGCAGCATGCTCAACACACCGATGCAGCAGCTATGCAACTCCTCCAATCTATGTAAGTTCAAGCTCTGCACTACTTGATGTCTTAAATTATATACCTTCTTTGTGGCATCGGCATCGTGCGTATTTTTTAAAGTTTCGTTGGAAATTTTTTGAAATTTTATTCTAACTTTATTGAGAAAATCAAATCACTCGAACTAACGAAATTGCAGGCCGAAAAGTTTTCGCTCGTCTAAATTACGAAATTGTAATGATCAGTCGGTAGCTTTTACTTTCGTTTATACTTGTTGTATTTGATAGATTCATTCTAATAATTCTGCCAACACGGGGAAGGGGCCTTAGTTCAAACCATACGGCCCCGGCCCCTCCTCCTGCGGATGATAATATATTAGTACTTCTCGCTAATGGTGGAAAATATCATATATCGTTCCTGAGAAATTTTATGTGTAAAATTCCATATTATTTTTGGGTTAGCGAAATTTCATCCAACCCCTCTAGAGCAGTGTATTATGGTTGATCTAGGTAGTTAGACAACGTAAAATATAGACGGCATGGGCTAATTTTGCTTGAAAACGTCCAGTTTAACCCTTTTTTTTTTCAATGCACCGATGCTGTCGCTGACTGAAAGAAAGAAAGATAGAAAGGCGAGGAACTTGGAGGACAAGGCACATTAGTGCAGTTTCTGAAAAAAATTGAGTATACAATGATTTCAAGTAAAATTAGTCTTATTGCATATTCTGAAAAAAATTCGCTCCCAAATTCCAATTTTTACCGGTTTAAAGGCCGTTTGAACTTTCTTTCCGCCCTAGGGATCCAGGTAATTTCGATGCTTCGAACACGCATTTCTCGAAATAGCAGAAACTGCCCTTATGCGCCTTGTCCTGCAAGCCCCTCAATTATGAATCACAAATAACGAATATATGTGACTGTGAAGTGGCAAAGAAAGAATTTTCACTTTCGTTTTCGATACTTATCCAATCCGTGATCAGCGCAGCCGACCCATCGGCCAGCCCCCCGTCCCCTTCAGCTATTTAGCTCCAGGACTACAAGGAGTGGCCTTGAGATGTAGTTATTGAGGAGTGCAGGAGCAGGACATGACGCATTTGGGCATTTCCGTTCCTGCACGGTGCGGCGGCGGCGGCGGGCTGTATAGGTCGTAAGACCCGGGAATCCACTTGGATCACGTCGATCCGGCTGACTCATTCATTCTCCCCGGTAGGATCTACCTACGCAGCGCCAGCGCCAGCGAGCTCGCACATTTTGCCACCCGAGAATGGAATGCATTCACCGCCGGCACCCCTTCCTTCAGTCTCCCTTTTAGTGCTAACCCTCCTCCGGAAGCTCCATCCACGCTGGCCAGGCTACATCGCGAATGCCATTGTTCACGTGGGCAACGTTTAGCCAAAGCTGAGGTGGGTTCCCTCGGGAACCCACTCGGAGGGGTCCGCTCATGAAAGTAAATGCGATTGTCCACGGGAGAAAGGGTCTTTTAGTCGAAAGGGGTATTCACAAGGGCGTAATCGCCAAAAGTCAAGTTTCGAGGAAACATCGAAAACTTGAATTCTCCGAGAATATTTCAATATAGAGCTATATAGAGCAATAGCGAGATATTCAATTTTTGTAAATTTAACGAATTTCGTCAATGGGAGGTACTGAAAAAGTGCTGAATTTTTTTGTCGAGGAGGTACTGAATTTTTTGGGAGTTTACTGAAAAAGCACTGTGAGAGTACTGATTTTTGGCCAGCCTGTCTTAGTGGACACCTTGCTTTATTTTATTCCCTGATTTTTGCCTGCATTCATTCTCTCCCACGAATATAACAGAAGAAGCTAAAAACTGAGGTTTATCCGCTACTTTTCTATATGCGGGAAACATGCGTTAGGTGTGCGTTACGGGGGAGGAGGGATCGAAAAGTCCGACTTAAGTATTTTATGAACGCCTCTCGATCGATCATTGAATCGCATTTTAAGTGCTGAAGATCTACCTAAATTTTACAAAGTTTGACCGTAATTCTACGTAACAACGTCTCGAGCCAACATCAAAGACATTGGCCAACATACGCGTTCTTCGAATTCAACTCCGTTACAGTTGTGTCAAAGGCCACGCTAAACGGTAGCCGAATGAAGCGAAAGTGGCTACCAGTGGCGAAGCGCGAATGATCGATTATCAATATTTCCCCATTAGAAGCTACGGCTAAGAATCGATTATTAAGGTGTTCGTTGCGAACACCCTGTTTATCGACCTTTTTCCATAGGTTCAAATGGCGGATCAATCGAAATATTGCAAAGCACACCACGCCACTGGTGGCTACCATCCAATCCATGCCCGCTCGTTTTTTCCCCAGATCGATACAAAATTGACAACAGAACGTCGTCGCCACTGCCACGGCCGCCCCTCTTCCCTCCCCCCGCCCATACTACTGCGGCGCTGAGTATGAACCGCGGATCCGCGAGGGGTGAGCGTTGCAGTTGCGCGGTTTCATCCGGGAGGGTGAAGCCGCGATCGCGGGGGCGGGGAAATGGTGCAGTGCGTGAGCGTGTCGTGGTCGTCGCACTTTGCAAATTTCATTCTTGCCAAAGTCACGCTTTAAATACGTCATTTATGGGGCAAAGAGGAGCCCGCATTGAGGAATGGAGACCCGTATTTCGTCTCTCATAGGAGAGAGTAAGGACTATCTACACACTGGAAAAAAACACACATTGGATCTATAGTCCAGACTCTTGAAAACATTGACAAGAAAAAATACTCTCGATTCAATCAGATTTAAGCTGAAATCAAAAGGAAATCCGCTCAAATTAAGAGGCTTGATTCTTGATTTAAGCTTAAATCTGATTGAATCAATAGTATTTTTTCTTGTCGATGTTTTTAAGAGTCTAGACCCCAGATCCAATGCGGTTTTTTCCAGTGCACCCTGGTAGTATTGACTGTTTTGGGATTTAAAAAAAGAAGAAAAAAGAAGAAAAAAAGTAAATTGTTTTTAAAATTTACAAGTCAGGAAACACTTTCCTGTTTCCTTTTAAGTAAGCGAGCGAATTTTTCGTTGAGAAAAGGGTTATGAAAATGATTAGCGGCAATGTATTTCGTTAAAATATAAAAATCATTCATATTTACACTTGACACAAAATAAACTGGAAAATATGCAACATAAAACAAAGAAAATTTGTGTTGACGATTACTAAAATTAATTTAAAAACCCTCGAAGGTGCAAGGTGGCATTTTAACGTATAAAAGAATAGCAAGAGTCTCTTAATCAGATATTTTAATAATTTTTTTTAGTTTTTCCCATGTTCGAAAACCATTTTTTTTTAAAAAAAATAATCAGTGTTACACGAGCCTACTAGGAAGTTCCGTCGGTGCATTTTGTCAAAAGTTGTTTATGCATTAGTGCGTAGCTCCTTAAAGCTTTTGAACTTCAAACTTTTACTCCGTATTTCCGTACCAAAACTCTTTAGTGAAAATTTTCAATCCAAGATTGAAGAAAAGTGAAAATTCAAAAATCAAGATTTTATAGTTGAATTTTTTAAAATTTCAGAATAGAAAATCTTCGAGAGACTTTAACGCAGAGGTAGGAAAGCAAAATCTTTTGTGTACCTATTAGTAAGCGTGTTTTCCTTTGCAAATGGTTTCAAATTTTGATTTTTATCAGCAGGCTGATAATTAAATTTGATGGACAAAGCGATATGCAAAGGGGACAAAGAGAAAATTGAGCATTCCAATATTGGAGGTTCTAAGAAAGTGATTGAAATGTACAAAGGGGGTGAGTTTTAGACTATCTAACGGCGGCGACCCACGAGATCCCCCACTGTAAATCTATCATTTCCCCCTTAGTCATAAAATAGACATAGCTATAGACAGAAACGACAGAAAACTTACGAAGACATCTTATTGGTGGAAGCAGGTGGTAGCAATGGACAAAGGCGATAAGTATTGGA